GGAAGAACCAAAAGAACCTGAAGAGTAGGAAATGCCAAAAACTGGAAGGTCATGGAACTAAACAAAATAAAAGTTCCCTACAGAATCAAAGTTCTTTAAAAATTTCATTTTTAATCATAAATTCAATGTTCAATTAATAATTAGGTTGAATGGTCACATTTCATGGAGTCAATTCTCCAAATAAATTCCGACTTCTCATCCTTTTTTTAAACAAAAATCCGACTCTCAAATAAATGATTCAATATCATTAAAACAATCAATTCAATTCCACCTTGCGCAAGGAATTTTCAAAAATAAGTTCAATAGCTTCTGCTCACTGTGCAAACTAAATTATTAAAAATTGGGCTCACAGTTACTAGATTTTACAATATTTTCGAATATTTTCTCCCAATTGTTTAATAGTTTCAGCTTATTTAGATCAAGATGCACCACGACATCGACGATTTTTTCGTTGGTTTTTCCGTGCAGCACGTGATTCTCAATTCCAGCGAAATATCGAATGGACTGATGAAGCGATTTTTAAACAAGACGGCGTGTTTAATCGTCACAACCAGCACATCTGTGCTACAACCAATCCTCGATGTGTTTTTGAACGCAGCAATTAACGTCGGTTTAAATTAAATGTTTGGTGTGGAATGATCGACAGCTGTTTGGTAATTTTTTTTTCTCATCAGATTTTATTTTATTTTTATCGTCCCTTTCAGATAGCTCAAAGTATATTTTCTGTTCTTCACTTAACAGATAATTCACCAGTAGTACTACTATCAATGATTCTAATAAAAGATTTATATTTTTATGAAGACACTTTAAACGATTGATTTTCCTTCTTTCTTTTACGTAAAAGCAATATCAATATCTTTAGGTAGGTCCTGTCTTCTTGCCAGAAGTTCATAATGGTGATTCGTATCTGGAACTTCTAAATGACTTGCCAGCGCATCTCGAAGATGTCCCATTAAACAGAATACGGAATTTGATTTGGCAGCAAGATAGTGCGGGTTTTCATCGTCGAGATGACGTCGTAGACTGCCTAGATAATATGGTAAAATTATTTAAGGCCAACTAGACGTCTATTTTCATGTTTAACATTTTTGACTGTTATTTAAGCCGGTCAAAGTTAGAATAAAATATAAAATGATGTAGGAGTAATAGCTAAGATGATTTGAGGCCAACTGGACGTCTATTTCGTGTTCGACATTTTTTGACTTTTTTCTGACTGCCAGTCAAAGTTGAAATAAATTCAAAAATGATGTAGGAACAGTAGCTATGATGATTCAGAGCTATTCGAATCTCTGTTTTGATGTTCAGCATCTTTTGACCATTTTCTGACTACTTGGTCAGACAGTCATCGTAGGGATAAATTTTAAAATAAGATGAAATCAATAGCTCAGATGATTGAGAGTCATCTGAATCTCCATTATCATGAAGTTATTTAATTGATGATTACTCATTTTTCGAACGATCTGTTATATGATTTATGCTCTTATTACTATGTTTGTATTATGTGATCCAACGTACTTGTACATTTTAATGCTCTATCTTGTTATCATTGTTTTTATATTATTGCGTGAATTTAGCGATGTGAAGTTTTTTATGTCCGACTACAAATTGTTTTATTTATATGTTGCATTCTTATCGCTGCTCGCTTACAGTCTCTCTCTTCCTATTATGCAATTCTTTTTCTTTAATTTAAAAGGTATTACTCAGTTTTGTGGTAGTAATAAAAGTTCGGGCATTATCAACCGTAATGCCATAGTGAAGTGGTTGGATGAAACCCACGTGTTGGCATTGTGGGGAAAAAAACATTTTGAGGCAAAAATTATTGCACAAAATCGTAAGCTTTAAATTTATTCAATGCATTAGTGTTCTAATTATTATCACATAATCAGAAAAATACATATTTATGCTAGTTTTTAATATTTTTGAGGTATTTCTTTTAAAGTCAAGCGTAAATAAATAATTTTATTTTTTATCAGAATCATTTATTCACGCATTTATTGTAAATAGACAAATCAAGTTCTATAATAACCCTACATATTTACTCATTATCATTTATCTGCGAGTTTTTTTATTTCATTCATGAATATGAATATTTTATAAACCAAGAAATCGATCAATGATTTTATCATTAACACTTATGGTGTAGTAATGAGACGAAATTATAGTGATTGCGCTTCAAATCCGTCTACAAATACAGTCTCAACTCAAACGGATTCAACACCCCAGTCACCTATTTCAATTCCTCCAACATCTGCGACTGTTCCATTTTGTACATCAACACCTCAACATTATTCGCCTGCAGTTACATCGTTGCCATCAACATCTCAACAGCATCTGGTCGCAGCTTCACCTTCTTCACATACACTGTAACAAAATTCGAGAGCTCCTTCAATATCCATCATTCATTACAGCCAAATTCTTCGTTGCATCCAGGACAAATGCAGTCTTTAACACCAAATATTGTTAACACTCAAATAGAATTTGGATCGAAAGGAGTTTTCGTTTCGCAAATCGATGTCGATAACATTATTGATCTTTATTCTCACAGACCAAAAGTAATGGTGAGACGTTTGATGGAATTAGTTCTTGGCTATGATTAATTGAGGACAATGACAAGAACTTGAAATCACAACTCGGTCTCTATTCCACCTAGAATTCTTCAATCCATTCGGCGTGAGTCATAACTATAGATAATTCAAAATAATCCTAAAAGTCGTTGTTGTAAAGGCTGTAATTATTAAACTGTCACAAGACGAGTGGAATCATTGTCTATTTCGGACAAGTGGCGCCATCCATGCCGGACGGGACAAGCTCTCAAGACGGCAAACTTATGTCGCCCTCTCGGGGAGAAAAACATCTACTGTTCCAGCAACCACGCCATCTATTCAGCGACTACGCCATCTATTCGATGCGGCGACCACGACATCTATCGCCAATAGACACGACACCTATGACCGACACACCAGAGGCCTGTCTTATCAGCCAAGGTCGATTGACGGTCAACTTCCAACAACATCCATCAGAGCAGCGCTTCGGTCAAGCAAAGAGGCGGAGTCAACGCATGGTGGGGGATCCCGCCAAAACGGGACAAAATACCTCGACGCACGACGCGGAAGCAGTCAGTGGCTTAGTTTACACCCAGCGTTCCGATCCCGTTTCATTCCGGAATGAACTAAGATTTGTCTAATGTAAACGGGTATAATCACGACCGGAATCATTTCATTTCATTCCTCTATTTTTAGATGGAATGGAATGATTTAGGACCGGAATAAGCTGATGTAAACGCGTTATTCAGGAATGAATTCAGTATTGCCAATCAGTAATGTAGCATAAGTTAGATTAGTATAGAGCATTTGTAAGGTTATGTTTTTTCAAGTTTATTTTTAAACAATTACTTGTAATGTTTGTTGATTATTAACAATAAGTACAATATATCAAATATATAATGAGTAAAAGTAGAGATATTTGGTTGCCAAATGAAGTAGATAAGTTGTTAGAATTATTTAAAGAAGAGCAAATAGCAGATCTTATGGATTCCAAACAAAGTCGAGTTGACGACGTTTTTAAGTCTTTTGAAAAAAAATTGAATTATCGGGGTGTAGTACGACCTGCTAAACAAATTAAAAATAAATATAAAAGTTTGAAACGTAAGTATTAGTAACATTTAGTTCGTGTATTTGTCATATAAAATAATATAAATCACCTTCTTGGTGGCTTCTTTTTAATGCTAACTGCACAATTGTTTTCTTATGAAAATTTAATAAAATTACAGAAAGTTACAATGCTACTCGTCGTGCACTTTCACAAAGCGGTGCTGGTACTTCAGTAAAGTGTCCATATTACAATAAATTGCACGAAATATTTGGACACAGACCAGTCAGTGTTCAATGTGGAGTAGACTCTGCAAGTATAGTACAAAATCAGAAAAATCAAGCAGTCATGTCATTAACTTCTCCAGATATTGAGATGTCTGATGACATTTCTGTTTCATTAGATGATGCAGTTCCCAGTTCGTCAAAAGATGTTGGATTATTATCAAACACAATAAAACCATCTAGTCTTCAAAGTATTACTATTGAAGATAAGACTGATATCATAGAAAGCAATATAAATTGCTGTGCAATTGAAAATATTGTGGCTAATAGCAATGTATCTGATAATAATAACAATTTTGATAAAAAAAATGAAACTGATACAGAGAAAATTGAAAAAAACAATTTAAAAAAAATAATCAACGATGCGAAACGATCTGTAGTGCCAAAAAAAAAACAATCATTTGGTCAAATATTTGATAAGGCAATCGAGCGTCTAATAAATGCCAACAAAGAACAGCTACAAATGGCAGTAGATAGCAATAATAAATTAGTACTAGAAATAATGGAAAAACAAAAGGAAATGCTACAAGAGCAAACTCAGTTACTGTTGCAACATTTAAATACTAACCAAACTCATTCAGTTCAACAAAATTTTCCAATATGGAATTCAATGCAATTAACTAGCCAACCTAGAATAATAACACCAAATCATCAACGACCTCAGTTCGTAAGAATTCCTGCTAATATAATTGAGCAAGCTCGTAGATCTTCATTACCAGTTCCAGCAATATCTTTAACTCCTCATACTACCTCAACTTTGCAGCCATCATTAACATCCGATTATAATGACGAATCTACATTTTCTTCATAAAATATCAACAACAAATAATTTATGTTTATAAAAAATGTTAAAGAATATTGAAACACATATTTTTAATTCATGAAAAAATATATTATTTTACTTTTTTCCATAATTGATATAGTTTTGTAACGCAAGGTTAATAAAATGTAATAATAAATATACGCAATAACAAATAAAACGCAAAATAAATAAAATTTGTATTAAAATATTTATTTAATTTTGATTTAATACAACTTCCTATAAAACTAGTAATTTGTTCAATGTGTATCAACATGTATTACATGGATGGACACAATATTTCAGTTTTTATGTTACTTGAGCAATTTTTAATTTCGGAGGATTTCTGTAAGATAATCGCATAATGCATCTCGAATTCTTCTTGCATTAAGATCATCATATGTTCGTGCCAATTGCCTTTGTGGTTGAGGAAATATACGTTCAATTTCTTTTACATAACTATCACAATTTATCAAAAATGGATCTTTTTTAGTTTCTAAAATATTATGGAGTGTACAGCAAGCAGCAACTACGTCTGGAACAAATTGATAATCTAACTCTGTACGTTTTAATAATGTTCGCCATCGCGCTTTTAAGCGTCCGAATGCCATCTCAATATGTACTCTTCCTTTATTAAAATAGTTATTGAATAATTCTTCTTGAGCTGTTAGCTCTGAATTTGTATAAGCTTTCATCAACCATGGCAGAAGAGGATAAGCTCCGTCACCCATTATGAAATATGGAACATTTACTTCTTTCACTCGTTTTACATTCTACAAAATGAGAAAATTTATGAACAAATGTATAGTTATCGTTTATTAGTATAGATAAATCTTTTTTAGTTTATTAACTACCTTTGGAATTAAATTATCTGCATTTCTATATAACAGGGACTCTCGAAATACTGCTGCATCATGTGAACATCCTGGAGATTGACAATTTATATTTCTAAACCTAGCAAAAAAAAAACACTCAAATTAAAATTATCCAAGTTAAATTACAATTATACAAAAAAATTCATTTTTAAGTACCTCAGTGTCACATCGACTAAACCTTGGAGTACTATTGATGGCCAACCTTTCCTATTTACGTAATCTCTGTAGCCTTCAGTTGGTGGTAATATAGGAATATGGGTACCATCAATTGCACAAATTACTTGAGGTATATGAATTAAATCTTCATACATCGATGATATAATAGAACACTCGGTTTCATCTGGCATAACAATATATTTTGGCAGAAGAATAGTATTTATTGCTTCAACCACTTCATGCATACACTTCCAAACAGTGGATTTATGAATACCAAAAAGATTAGCGACTACCCGATATTCACAACAGCTAGCTAAGTAGTATAAAACAACACCAACTTTTTTATCAACACTCAGAGGTTTTTTTGGAGGTTTCATAATAGGTCGAGACGGCTCAAGCATTGGACGTAATTCCTCACAAATATAATAAAACGTTGATTTTCGCATTCTGAACGTTTCAATCCAATCGTTATCATCAAAATGTCTTTGAACAGTCACTTCCCACTAAAATGCATTTCTATTTTTCATCCATAACCGTCTAGGTGTACGATTGAAGCTTCTTTTTAAGCTTAAAAGATTACAGATGCTTCTTATTGTAGTCTCTTGAATTTGAAGGACGTTCTGAATAAATGCATTATTAGCATGTATCAGCAATATATTTATGTAAGATAAAATCCACTTAATATTCAATAAATATATAATAAAAGCTTCTTTCAAATCCATGAATTACTTTAAGTCACATGTAATTTAACTAATTGTAGGTTATGGGTATATACTTTGAGTTTTGAAGTATAAATTTACAAAGTTGGTTATCCTGTTTCTTTACTTCAATCTCCATTCCATTCCGAACGGAATAATTCAAGTATAAACGGTGACTCGATTCACTCCATTCCGGAATGAAACGGGATCGGAACGCTGAGTGTAAACTAAGCCAGTCAGTGCTGATTAGTCAGCCAGTTAGCGGCGAGCCAGCCAGCAAGCAATCGCGCACGCAGTCAGTCGTGTTGTAACGTCATAGTCCGCTTAATTAAGTACATTGTTTCCGAGAACGGTGAATCGTGTCACGCGCTCAGTTCCGATCGCTGAAAGCATCGTAGCTAAATCTAGATGGACGAGTTGGACGGACATTCAGGTCGAGACGCCAGGCAGTCTCCCGCACATTTCCTTCACCGAGAGAGTCGCCGAACACGTTGCAGCCGCTGAGAACCAGAGAAAAGCAGTCGAAGGACACCCAAGGGTACTACCATCCGACGAAAGGAATCACTGCGGCATCCCAGGATTTCCTCGTTTGATATCATCATGGTGAGCTCGTACATCATTTCTGTACCTTTTGTAAGGGCATAGGGCGAGCTGCGCCACAATTCATTGTAATACGCCATTATAATTGTTAATGATATCACTTGGCCCTCCTGGTAACTGTTAATCTTTTGTTCCTCTCGTGCCCGGCTAGTATTCCGAAGATTTTTACGATCATTATAATTTATTTGAATTGTTCATATTGATTATTATAATCTCAATTAGACTGTTAAGTTACATATTCTGTAATTCATGCGAAAAGCAGGTCCGCTTCAGGTCGCGGATTGGTAGAATCCTGCGTACAGGTGTATAAAAGCAATAAATAAACAGATTGTTAATATTACCTCACGTGGAAGACAATTCCCAAGGGATAACATCCTCGTGCCCACTTTGCATGCATACTTACAGGTATTAACGGACGGCTAAGGAATACTGGAAACAACGTACATCTTTTGCATTAATATCGCGTGCCGACGGATCGGTATCACACGCCGACGCTGCGTGGGTTTTTCATCGTCGCTTTGCTATTTTATTATCTTAATTAATTAAAATCTATTCAATTTGATTAATATTAATTCAATTATAAATTTAATTATAATCATTGCATTCTTTCTTCTCGCTCATCGTTGTCTCTCCTCAATTACACCGGCTCTACCACCGAGGGAGATAAAGGTAGGTGAGAACACGCATAACTATATACACGATTACACGCAGAAAAATATATATCCAAAAATATAATTGACTTTTTCTCCGCCAAGACCCTGGAATACCCAAGCTATTCCTCATCAAAATTCATAAGCTCTCGAACCTGGCGAGAACTTCTTCGAAGTGAACGAGATAGATGAAACAGGATAAAGACAGACAGAGAGAGACCTCATACAACCTTGCCCGCGCTTTCTAGTGCATTCCTCATCCTTTAAATCAACTATCCCTATTCCTCAGAGATCCTTCTCAATCTCTACAATACCCAGAAATCCCCTTGTTCACTGTATGAGTATTCCAACTATACATAGTCTCCCTCAGACATCTTCACCTTTATCCTCAACATTATCTCTTTCTCTTGGTGCGGAAATAAACCTCTTCGCCAGGAGTCATTTCAAAAGAGTTCAGATAATTTTTTTTTCCAGAATTTATTATTGAAAACGCAGAACCACGTCTTTCGGTTAATACCTTTAATAGATAGGTTACAGTATTTTTAAACGAGTTACGAAAACAATAGAAGACAAACCACTTATTTAAAGGTTGATAAATGAATATTTACCATCGAATAATATTTGACTGTTAAATAAGATATAAAATCACTGAACATAAGTGTACAAAATTGATTTAATAAAATTTTATTGAAAAAAATATAACGGTATATTACTTCAAGCAAATTTTTTAAATTATTGTATCTGATAACCAGCTGTTTCCAATTGCTATAGTGATATCCAAAAATTAATTGAACTTATTTGAAATGTCTATTTCAAAAAATAGATTTAAAGAGTATTTCCAGCGGCGAAAACAGATTATGGAGTAAAACTCCTGAAAAACTTCTTATAAAACTTACAATTAATAGATCAGAATTGGAGATGAAAGCGTACTGTAACTCATGTCTTTAGATCATCTTTAGCTATATGAAATACTTTTTTAGGGGGTAAAATATTTAAGGAATGAACTATCAGACTTGGAAAACCAGAATTTTGAAAACAAATAGTCAAATTCATTTTTAAATGCTTTTACAGCTATAAGAGATAGTTGATTACATAGGAAGAAATACTATTCAAAAATAAAGTGACGTGTCGAAAAGTCGTAGGAAATTAAACATAAAGAGCAACAGTAAATAGATTAAATTTTCGAGTGTCCTCAGAATTTTGAAACGGTCAAAAGCAGCTTTTACAAAATAGAAAATTCAAAAAATTTATTAACTTCCCAGTGGAAAGTTATAGTAATGGGTCCGATTTTGCGAATCGCTAATTTTGACATATCTCCACGTTTTAAGGTCCCTAGAGTTGAATACGATAGTTTTTACGTGGACGTTTGTGTGTGCATGTGTGCGTATGTTCGTATGTTCGTACGTGCGTTCGGAATTATTTTTCACCTCGATTATCTCGAGAACAAAAAATGATATCGACGTGGGACCAACTGCATTCGACGCGTAATTACGTAACTTATAACTGAAAATGTTTTCAGGAAAATCAGAAAGGCCATTTTTTTGGCAGAATTAAAAAACTGAAAAAATAGCGAACTACCTAAATTCTGCAATTTATAAATTATATCATTTTTCAGACGAAATTTGAAGATCATTGCAGAAATATGAATATTAAATGATTGGAATACTTGTATGGATATATGATGACAATATTTCATCGGAAAAAAAAATTTAAAAAACAAAATCAGCAATGAAAGAATTTTTAACTCGTGTCAGGATTGAGAAAACAGCATTGAAGACGCTATAATAGTCAATAATAATTGTCAATAGTATGGAATTGTGTCCATAACAATTAAACATTGTTACTAACAAGTGATTATTGATCGTAGTAATATTTAAATAATAAGTTTTAAATTGTTATAAACAATAAAAATAGGGACCCTTTCTATATGTATGAGTACTTTTAACGCATAATTTTTTCGTTTACTAAAAAAATGTTACCAACCGTTTGCCATAAATGAAAACATACTTTTTTCGTGTATAACAATGAAATTCGTTGTAAATAATGAAAAAAAGGATCTATGAGGTACATTCGAATTCTTCTAACGCACAATTTTTTCTTTTACTGAAATAAAGTAACTAACCATATCAAATGAATAAAAACAGACTCATTTCGTTTATAACAATTCCATTTGTTATAAAAAATGGAAACGGGTTCTATTCAAATTGCTTTTTTATTTTTTTCACTGGGAAGTTGGTCGTGTGGACCTTTCGGGTCGCACCCAGACCACTGCAGAGCACTGATATTTTTTATAGACTCTGTAGTCCAGATGTCACGTCACTGAAAAGTAAAATTTATGCTTTAATGTTTTTTTTTAGCTCCCAAAAATGACTGGTTACATAAGAAAATATTGAAACACAGAAAAGTGTCTCGTTAAACATTTTTCGGACCTGAAAACACTTGGTTAACTTTGAATCATACTTGAGGACAGTGTTCAAAGTCTTGATAGACTGGAACTAGAGCCAGACAGAGGCCAGATTGAATTTCAGAGCATAACTGGTAGTTCAGGATTGATAGTTATGTGATCGAAGACTTGGTAGAACAAAATTGAAGTTAATAAATAGTTAAATTTGGTCTTTAAAGCATCTTTAGGCATCGATTTGGAGATAAATTGTGGATAGATTCGATTTTCGCGTGTTTCCAGAAACTGGAGATAGCACGTTATGTAACATCATGTTCCAAGTAGGTTTTAGGAGACTTGTTTGACCAGGTTCAGAGACAGATAGTACTTAGATTAAATTTTATAGCGCTTCAGCACCTGGATATGCTTGTTTGAGAAATTTAAGTTGGAAAGTCGTCAGATTGAATTTTAAGTGTCTGCAGCAACATGGGGTAGATGATTGAGCGATAAAACATCGGAAAAAAATATCAGAAGTCTTTGTGAACCAGAACTGGAGTTACAGCGTAGTTGAAATTGATAACTTAATGAGTAGCTGGTCAATAATCAGATAATATAGAAGAATTACTCAACGATGTTGTTTAATGTAACTTACATTTTCTTCGAGACACTCATTCATGACCGTCACGGTTTGAGATGTAGCACCCTGAATCATTTCCGGTGGGATTGCTGCAGTCTCCATTTGAATCCGACCACGCAAGTCTTCTTCGTCCATAATCGGAACTGAATACACTTTATCCTTTAAATAACTCCACAAGAAAAAATCTAAAGGAGTTAGATCAGGTGATCTTGCCGGCTATTCGTGATAATCGCTTCCCATGCCTATCCAGCCATTCGGGAACATATTATCTAGGCAGTCTACGACGTCGTCTCGACGATGAAAACCCGCACTATCTTGCTGCCAAATCAAATTCCGTATTCTGTTTAATGGGACATCTTCGAGATGCGCTGGCAAGTCATTTAGAAGTTCCAGACACGAATCACCATTATGAACTTCTGGCAAGAAGACAGGACCTACCTAAAGATATTGATATTGCTTTTACGTAAAAGAAAGAAGGAAAATCAATCGTTTAAAGTGTCTTCATAAAAATATAAATCTTTTATTAGAATCATTGATAGTAGTACTACTGGTGAATTATCTGTAAATTGAAGAACAGAAAATATACTTTGAGCTATCTGAAAGGGACGATAAAAATAAAATAAAATCTGATGAGAAAAAAAAATTACCAAACAGCTGTCGATCATTCCACACCAAACATTTAATTTAAACCGACGTTAATTGCTGCGTTCAAAAACACATCGAGGATTGGTTGTAGCATAGATGTGCTGGTTGTGACGATTAAACACGCCGTCTTGTTTAAAAATCGCTTCATCAGTCCATTCGATATTTCGCTGGAATTGAGAATCACGTGCTGCACGGAAAAACCAACGAAAAAATCGTCGATGTCGTGGTGCATCTTGATCATGGAGGTGATGTACAAGCGTTAAATGGTAAGGGTGATATCCGTTATCTTGTAACGTACGATGGATAGCAACGTGATTAGTGTGGAGCGATTGGTTCATTATTCAAAATACGTTCTTAGAGTCTACGGAACACATTGTAATTTGGATGTCAGAGCCGGTCCGGGAAACGTTGCGCATAAACTTGAACTGCTTAAAATGCATTGTCACCACAATCATGTAGAACTCTGATCATGTCGACATATTCCAATTGTGTATATTGGGCCATTTTACATATAATAAAATACGCACAATTGACAATTTATAGAGGGTTAAAATGCTTACGATAAACAAGAACGTACGAGACTAAAGATAACTAAGAAGATAACATATACATTAATCATATGATTCCGTCAATTGAATGAACTATATCACATAGCAAGATCGTTGAATAACAATCGAACACAGAGCGTAATTGAAAATGTATTGAGTACAATAATTCGGGAAATGATATAAATATGATTAACGAAGTCGAAAACTCGAAAAAAAGATGGAAAAATGAGCTACAAAAATACTCATACACATTTAAAAAAAATTATTTAGCTGAGAACCCAATTGAACGTTAATAAACAGGCGTTCATAAGAAAATTTCAGATATTAATACATAAAATCATGGAATAATTGAAGGAAAAAAAAATTAAAGATGGAATAGAGATTCAATTGGCTCCAAATCATCTAAACTATGGATTCTACATTATTTATTACTGTACTTTGACTATTATTATCTAAATAAAAAGTCAAAAGATGGTCAAAAAAGGACAAACATGAAAAAAGAGGTCCTCTTGGCCTCGAATCATCGCAGCCATTTTTCCGACATCATTTAAATTTTTTTTTAACTTTGACTGGCATAAATAACAGTCTGAATTAAGTCAAAAGATAGTCAAAAAAGGTTAAACATAAAAAAAAGGTCCAGTTGGCCTTAAATCATCTTAGCTATTGCTTCTAAAATATTTTTCAATTTGTTTATTATTTTTTTATTTATTCTTATATTCATTTCGTAAATTTTAATCTGCGCATGTCTTTTATTTCAATCTCAGTCACATTCTCAGTCTTCGAGTAAACTTAACTCCCACCTCTTGTTCTGAGCAATTCAATCTTACTATGTTCACACATCACTTATTTTTCTCTAGTTTTTAATACTTGCTGTGATTGTCATTTTGTTAGGTGACAACATTTTCATTCACGTAACTCAACAATTTATGTTCTGATTGTTGTTTTCCTGTGGTTTAAGACTAGCTTGTTGTCACCAGCAACTTTTCTGTGATTGGTCAATTGCAATTTTTTATAACTCCGTAAATATTCAGCGTACGGAATTTTTGCAAAGGGAATTTCCGTTCTATTTCTCCTCCTCAATACGCTTATGTACTCAGTTTCCGACCCAACTGCAACACCCTGCATAAATAGAATTTTCTACATATTACGCTACAGCTTACTCTACCGATAACAAAGTATCTGCAAAACGAAAAGCTTAAACGGAGAATGAATTTTTTAAATCTTGACCTTTGTCGAAGGACGAAGTTTCAAGTATACTCAAAGATATGCAGAGTAAATTTAACAATAAACAAAGAAGAGCAAAACGTAAGTAACGAGAAATCGTTTGTTCTTTTGTCTCTATTTTTTTATATGGGTAATTATTATTTTATTGTCTTAAATATTCAGGAAGTGATGTCAACAATATCAAAATCATCTAAATCTAAAAAACCGACAACGTCAAGTACAGAAGTACAGAAAAGCATTTGAAGAAAAGAATTTATCCAAATTCTGACCATTGTCTTACAATTAGAATTACTTCTATGCCTTTTTTTTGTCCTTTACTTTTTGTAACGCTGTAACAAGATGAAAGATTTGAATTTCATGAATGTTTCAGAAACAAAGAGCTATCAAGAAAAATAAAACATTAATTAAAAAATTTCTAGTAGTTCTGATGCGACTGAAAAATCTTGTGATATTGAAAGTTGAGTTTTCTCATATTTCAGGAGTAAAAGGTGCAATGAAGAAAAGTAAAAAATCCTAATAGTTTTTGATAACTCTTAAAAAACACGTAATAATAGAAACTACCTGATAAGAAGTTATGACAATGGTTAAAAAAATAACTCTTCCAATACTAGGAGTGAGGTACAAAATATGGATCTAAGTTGTGAAATTTGTTTACAAGCTAATAATAATGTTTATAAGGTTCATTTTTTACATATTAACCTCCAAGCGGGCGCGCGTAGTCGATTTGATCACGCGTAATGCATTTTCTTGCATATTATTATTATTACTCATCACAAATCTTTTTCACTGCTAGTAGCCTGTCGCTATGTCCTTAGGAGTAAAATAAAGAGTTTTCTAACGTGCGGGGCGCTTCCCCCACCTCACAGATCGCGATTCTCTTAATCGCGGCGCAGTCGTCGCATGGACTACACGCGCCTGTCGTCGAAAAGGTTACGCTCGACGCTTAACGCGACATAATTTTTCTTCGGCTGTCATGTATTGTTATTGAATTGAGCTGGGAATATTGTTTTTTTTTTTAATAATGAGTCGAAACCCGTTATTACAAGGTGTGATACTCGATGAGTTACTAAGAGTAGATGAAGAGAGTGAATCAAATCTCAGCGATCAAGGCTCCGAAACTTCCGACTACATCGTTTCAGAGAAACCTCATTCTGCTGAAGAATCACACTGCTCGGACTCAGATGAAGATAATTTGCCTCTTTCAGAAATAAGTAGCTCTTTTACAGGGCGGGATAAGGTAACAAAATGGCAAAAATCTAATAATAACAGAGTGAGGGGTCAAGGTCAAAATATTCTTACTGAAGGTGCGGGTACTCGTGGTAATGGTGTGGAAGTGACAACATTAATGCAAGCGTGGGATTTATTCATTTCGGAAAATATAATTGAAAAAGTTGTTAGACACACCAACGAATTTATTCAAAAAAAAAGCGCCATCGTATGGCAGAATACGTGACTGCAAACCGACAGATGAGGTGAAAATTCAGGCACTTTTCGGATTGTTGTACATTGCGGGATCCTTGAAGACATCACACGCCAATTTAGAAGATTTATATGCAAGTGACCAGACAGGTGTTCCTATTTTTCCTACTACTATGTCAATGAAACGAGTAAAATTTCTACTTAACTCATTGCGGTTTGATGATGCTACTACGCGAGTATCTCGTCGTACTCTGGACAAAGTTGCGCCAATAAGCGAAATTTTAGATATGTTCACACAAAACTGTCTTTCACCATATTCTGTAGGAGAGAACGTTATCATCGATGAGATGATGGCAGGTTTTCGAGGAAAATGTCCGTTCCGACAGTACATAAAATCGAAGCCCGACAAATACGGAATAAAACTTTATCCACTAGTAGACGCTGCTACCCTTTACGTTTTCAACATTGAACATTATGCTGGCAAGCAGCCTGAAGGCCCATATCAGTTGAGTAATGCTGCGGCAGACGTCGTGAAGAGGTTGATAAGACCAATTTCTGGCACAGGAAGAAATCTTACAATCGACAATTGGTACACCAGTGTGCCTTTGGTGAACGATTTGGCCAAGGATCATAAGCTTTCTGTTGTGGGTGTCATGCGCCCAAACAAGAAAGAAATACCTCCTTCCTTTATAAATAAAAACCGGCCGGAATATTCAAGTCAATTTGGATTTTCTGGTACAACTACACTCGTATCTTACGTGCCTAAAAAGAAAAGATCTGTCGTTCTACTGTCATCACTTCATCGTGCTGCGGAAATTGATGAAAGTACTAATGAAATGCGCAAACCCAGCATCGTTACTTTTTACAACAAAAAAAAGGGGGTGTCGATGAAGTTGATAAAAAATTAAAAATGTATTCGACTTCAAGGAAGAATAATAGATGGCCATTGACACTCTTCTTTCGTCTTCTGGATATTGCTGGAATTAATGCTATGGTGATATTGAGGGCAAATAATGTGTCTATACGGGAGAGGTGAAAGTTTTTACGGGCATTAGGCATTGAATTGACAAAAGAGTATGTTCAAAGAAGAGCAACGATTGTAGGCCTTCCAAGAAAACTAAAAAGAAACATTAGGGAGCATTTGAATATGGATGTTGGTGCTCCTTCTACAGAACCAGGTAGTTCTAGCACATGCAGAGGTACCTGTAAAATATGTCTAGCCAAAAAAGGGGGCAATCAAAGACGCGCTGTACGTCATGTCTGAAAAATATTTGCAGAAGTCACACACAATTTATTTGT